GCCCCTTCCCCCCCGTGCACCCCCTTTTCCCACATCCCCTGTAACCCCACGAGCCGGGTTGTGGCAGGAAAGCTTCCTGCTGGAATCCCTTTTTTCCCCAAAATCCCCTGTTTTATGTGTTGGTATTTTCTTTTTCCCAGCGGGAGCTGAAGGAACAGCTCCAGGGGCTGCAGGAGAGCGAGCGCGGCCACACCGAAGCCTTGCACCTCCTCAAACGGCAGCTGGCCGAGACCAAGGTACGAGCTGGGCTGTTTTTCTTTATCTTTTTAATTAATTTTTATTTTATATTTATCGCCTTCTCTTCGCTCAGGCGTTCAGCTTTCAGCGCGGTTCAATTTTCTCTCCATCTCTGCCAGCAATGGGGTGGTTTTAGGTTTTCTGTAGGGGTGTGGGGTCAGATATCCACCCTTGGGTGCTCGGAGCATGCAGAATCGTTTGGGTTGACGGGACTGTAGGGGTTTATTTGGGGAATTATGGATTCGGGGAGGGGTCGGGGCAGGTTTGCGGGGTCCTGACACTGACCTGCACCCCAAAAGTCCTCAGCCAAGAGCCTGCGGGTGACCATCGGGGAGGCTTTCGAGCGGCTGGCACAGCTGGCGCGGGGGGGGCAGGCAGAAAGCGATGCTGGAGGAGCTGGAGGCGGACACGGCACGGACGCTGACCGACATCGAGCAGAAAATCCAACGCTACAGCCAGCAGCTCCGCAAGGTGCAGGAGGGCAGCCAGATCCTCCAGGAGCGCTTGGCCGAAGCCGACAAACACGTCTTTTTAGCCGGTGTCGCGTCCCTTTCCGAGAGGTGAGTGACACCGGGGTGACACTGGGGGTCCCTCACGTTGTCTCCTGCTCTCGTTCATCATCTCTCCTTCGCAGGCTGAAGGGGAAGATCCATGAGACCAACTTGACCTACGAGGACTTTCCCACCTCCAAATACATGGGACCACTGCAGTACACCATCTGGAAATCCCTTTTCCAGGATATCCATCCCGGTGAGGGGCACGGGGATGGGCTGGCTGGTGAGGGATGGGGATGGGGACATCATGGGTGAGGGATGGGGATGTGCCAGTTGAGGGATGGGGATGTCACAGGTGAGGGATGGGGATGGGGACATCATGGGTGAGGGATGGGGACGTCACAGGTGAGGGATGGGGATGGGGCCATCATGGGCGAGGGATGTCACAGGTGAGGGATGGGGATGGGGACATCATGGGTGAAGGATGGGGACATCACAGGTGAGGGATGGGGATGGGGACATCATGGGCGAGGGATGGGGACGTCACAGGTGAGGGATGGGGATGGGGACATCATGGGTGAAGGATGGGGACATCACAGGTGAGGGATGGGGATGGGGACATCATGGGTGAAGGATGGGGACATCACAGGTGAGGGATGGGGATGGGGACATCATGGGCGAGGGATGGGGACGTCACAGGTGAGGGATGGGGATGGGGACATCATGGGCGAGGGATGGGGACGTCACAGGTGAGGGCTGGGGATGTGCCAGTGAGGGGTAGAGATGTCAATGGTGAGGGATGGAGGTATGCTGATGAGGGACTGGGACGTCACCAGTGAGTGATGGGGACATCACTGGCAAGGGATGGGGCTGCACCAGTGAAGGATGTGGACATGCTGGTGATGGGTAGGGATGGGGACATCACTGGTGAGGGATGGGGACATCACTGGTGAGGGATGGGGACGTGCTGGTGAAGGATGGGGATGTGCTGGTGAGGGGTAGGGATGGGGACATCACTGGTGAGGGATGAGGACGTGCTGACAAGGGATGGGGACATCACTGATGAGAGATGGGGACACGCTGGTGAAGGATGGGAATGCGCTGGTGGCCTTCGCACTGCAGTGGTTTGCAAACCGATGGGACAGAGCCACCTGCACTGGGTCTGGGGGCTGTGTTGACTCTTGTCCTGCTCCTTGTCCCCATGTCCCCTCCACCAGTGCCAGCAGCCCTGACGCTGGACCCCGGCACGGCTCACCACCGCCTGATCCTCTCCGACGACTGCACCATCGTGGCGTACGGCAACCTGCACCCCCAACCGCTGCAGGACTCCCCCAAACGCTTCGACGTGGAGGTCTCGGTCCTGGGTTCGGAGGCGTTCGGCGGTGGGGTCCACTACTGGGAGGTGGTGGTCTCCGAGAAGACCCAGTGGATGATCGGTTTGGCCCACGAAGCCGTCACCCGCAAGGGCAGCATCCAAATTCAACCCAGCCGAGGTTTTTATTGCATCGTCATGCACGACGGGAACCAGTACAGCGCCTGCACCGAACCCTGGACCCGGCTCAATGTCAAGAGCAAGTTGGAGAAGGTGGGGGTCTTCCTGGACTACGACAAGGGGCTTCTCATCTTCTACAACGCCGACGACATGTCCTGGCTCTACACCTTTCGGGAGAGGTTTCCCGGCAAGCTCTGCTCTTATTTCAGCCCCGGGCAGAGTCACGCCAACGGGAAGAACGTCCAACCCCTCCGCATCAACACCGTTCGCATCTAACGGGGGGAACGGTGCCGTCCCGTTCCCCCTCCCCGGGTGTTTTCCCGCTCTTTGGTGGAGGTTTGGGCTGATCCTGCCCCAGGAACTGCCGCCGGCACTGGGCAGGATCCGGCTTTTTCATCCCCCCCTTTCTCTGTCCTGTGCTTCCAGGAGGGTCCCGGCGTGGGGGAAGAGGGGGGGCCGGGCTGCTGCAATAAAAGGATTCGGAGAGACGGGGCTGGGTGGGGGAGAACCCCGGGGCGGGCTGCGCCGGGAGGTGCCGTACGGTGTCGTGGTGTGCCACACCAGGGCCAGGTACTGCACCGTGCCGTGGTGCGCTGTGCCGACCGTATGTACTGCGCCGTGCCGTGGTGTGCTGTGCCATGCCGTAGGTACTGCACCGTGCCGTGGTGTGGCATGCCATACTGTACGTACTGCGCCGGGCCGTGCCATATTGCGCCATGCCATGTGTATGACACTATTGCGCCATTGTGCGGTGCGCTGTTCTGTGCCGTACATACTCTGCCGTGCCATATGTATGGCACCATGCCACGAGGCACCGTGCCGAGCCACGCCATACGTCCCGTACTGTGCCATATGTACTGAGCCATAGCGCACCGTACTGTGTCATGCCATATGTCCTCTGCTGTGCCATATGTACCGTGCCATGGTGCACTGTACTGTGCTATGCCATACGTGATGTACTGTGCCATGGTGCGCTGTACTGCGCCACGCCATGCGTCCCATGCTGTGCCATATGTACTGTGCCATGCCACACGTCCTGTGCTGTGCCATATGTACCGTGCCATAGTGTACCGTACTGTGCCATGCCATATGTCCCGTGCTGTGCCATATGTACCGTGCCATGGTGCGCTGTACTGTGCCATGCCATACGTCCCGTGCTGTGCCATATGTACCGTGCCATGCCACGTGTCCCATGCTGTGCCATATGTACCGTGCCGTGGTGCGCTGTACTGTGCCATGCCATACATCCCGTGCTGTGCCATGTGTCTTGTGCCACACCATACATCCCGTGCCGCACATATGGCACCATGCTATCGTGCGCCGTGCTGTGCCGCACCATACATACCGCAGCATACTGCGGCATGCTGCCGTCTGCCGTGCTATATGTGCTGCACCGTGCCTTGGTGTGCCATACTGTGCCGTATCACGCCACACGTGCTGCTCTGTGCCGTGCCACGCCGCGCGGTGCCAAGCTATATGTTCTGCACCACGCTGCGGCGCACTGTGCTGTATGAACTGCGCCGTGCTGCGCCATACGTGCTGCACGGTGCCCTGTGCCGTGCCGTATGTGCCGTGCAGCGGTATGCCGTGTGCCACGCTGTGACAGCACTGGGGATGCCAGGGGCGATAGGGAAGGGTCTGCATAGGGGATGCTGCCGATGTATAGGAGCAGTTGCTGTATAGGGGGTGCTGCCTATGGAATTGTGCTGAGGGGAGGGGTTGGGCTGCGGGAGGTGTACGTATATAGGGGGGACCCGACGTGGTAGGGTCCTGCACCTCTGTCACTCTGTATAGGGGGTATGATGTATAGGGGGTGGGCTATACGGGGGGTGTGATATAGAGGGATGGGCTGTATAGGGGGGGGGCTATCCAGGGGTGGGGCTATATACAGGGCGGGCTATACGGGGGTATGATATATGGAGGATGTGG